ATATAAACTTTCATTTTTTCTAATGCTAGAGCTAAAATCTTACATGTTCAACAAAACTTGGATTTTTTAGATATAAACCCCCTGATCAAAGTTATTCATTGTTCCTAATGCTAAAGCTGAATCTTACATTTGAAACAAACCTAAGGATCTTTTATATAACCCCCTGATCAAATTTTTGCTATGTTAATGCTGGAACCCTTGAGTTTTTTTTCTGAGGACAATACTAGGGATGGAAATATGTGGAAGTGAGAGAATTTCGGTCATTTTGGAGGATTCGAGAAATCTTAAAGTTCTTCCGGATTATATCAAAATAAAAAATATTTGAAAGTAACATATCCAAACAACCCTAGATTTAGATGTAGCTTAAGAAGGTATCTGACAATATGAAACAGATGGGATCTTGGATAAAAGTTTTTACATTTGCAATCTGGTTCTATTTCTGCTAGCTGCTAGGCATAATAAAATATATGAATATAATTACATCTTTCATTCCTTTACTCTGCAGGAATTTACCTCAACCTGAAGTCAAATTTACCTTCATTCGTATGGCTTGCACTACAAGTTAAATTCTAAATATAGTGTAAGCTCATACATGCACAGATCTTAATTACTGTGAAACGATGGGTTTTGCTCGCCTCTAATTGTGTTTATACTCTCTCTCCTCAAAGACTTCAGCAGCTCTCACAAGTGGATGACCTACAAAGGAATTCAAATTGAGATTCATCTGTTATCATACGTCAAAAATCAAATGTATTATACATCGGAATTTGTTTGATGTTTTATTCGTTCTCTTGATCGGTTGATCAACCAAGAAGTATACTGTATATTCGAGGAAAATACATTTGTAACTTCGTTCTTTTACATGATAATATTATCAGCTGGCTGATGGTTACATGATAACCAGATATATATACTCGAATGATGCGAATAATGCAACGCAACGGTTTTGTAGGAGTATATTTAGTATTGCACGGTGTCACATAAATAAATTTTTTCATTAGTTGAATTGTGTCCTCTAAAGCTCAACTACATTCAATAAATATCCGAAGGTTATCAGAATAAAATTCGAGTTTGAATTTTTTTTTTTTAATATGGATGTATCAATACCTGCATCTATATTTGTACATACAAAAATAAATGTACAAAAATAAAAAATAAGTTGGTGTTTCAGAATCTAGTTCCTAAAAGGGATCTGTATACTTTATGAAAGTTAAAAATTTTAGAACCAAAATGATAGGAAAAAATCCGAGATTTATTGTAAAGTCTCACGACACGCCATGTATTTAGCAAGAATAACGTTTAAAAAAAGACAAATTCAGGAACTTAATCCACGGCGCCCTCCAAGAGCGAAATGAGCCAGCGATATTTACGTGAATATCCTCGTTCTCCTCGCTACTGCGCGCCACGCTACCGAGGGCATAGATGTCATTGTCTATTCACCGCCTCCTTTTCACACTTCGATTCTACACTGAGCGCCGACCGAGATCTCACCTTCCCCTAAATAAAAGAAAAAAAAATCAAAAAGAAAAAAGGAGGAGAAAAGAAAAAAAAAAACCCCAAAGCTAAAAGAAAGCCCAAACCTTGATACTTTCCCCTTTGCCTCTGCATCCTCACTCACTGCTCCTCTGTTTGAGATCTCAGAGAGGGGGAGAGCAATGGCAGCTTACAAGGCCGAGGACGACTACGATTACCTCTTCAAGGTGGTCATCATCGGCGACTCTGGAGTAGGGAAGTCCAACCTGCTCTCGAGGTTCACCAGAAACGAGTTCAGCCTCGAATCCAAGTCCACCATCGGGGTCGAGTTCGCTACCCGAAGCTTGAATGTCGATGGGAAGGTCATCAAGGCTCAGATTTGGGACACTGCTGGCCAAGAAAGGTAACGCTTTGAATTAGATCTCTGTTCGCATTTTTGATTCAAGGGGTTGGTTGGTGCGTTCTGATGGGGCTTTTTGAGAATTGGGTTAGCGGCTGTTGTTGATGGAGATTAAGCCTTAATTAAATTGAAAATGCTAAAAAGTTGGGTTTTTCTTTTTTTCAAGTGCCGAGGCTAATCTATGGACTTTGGTTTTTTGGTATGGGATCTTTGGGGGGCATAATATACTTCTTATGGTACACTGTGCTTGGGCTCACCGTGTGCATATGTATGAATGTGCACATAACTCGGAATTGATACGTTTGCGGACACGTAAGCTTAATAATTACGTTAATATTTAGCTTGTGTCTTCTAATAATATGTCAAGCTGTAACTTTATTCAAGAAAAGTAGAGGAAGGAGCTAGTTTGATTAACAAGATATGTTTGTTACGGAATTTCATTATTTGATGTCTGGGTGGGTTAAATTGACCGAATTGTCCGTTTAATAGGAGTGTAAATGTGAAAAGGATCGTGGAAGAATGTAGCTTCTTGCTTGTTCGTCACCATTTTATTCTGATTCTTTGGCGGACATCCTTGTTTGCTACTACTAGAAATCGTTCATACAGACACGTAGCTATAGATTTGACAATTGGACATTTTTTTAAAAGACAGTGGTCCGAAGAAACACAAGCTTCCATAGAAGGCGAAAGTACCCCCGCTTGCACTGCAAAGAAAGATCCTGTTCTGCACACGCAGATGATAGCGTGTCTTTATCCTCTAATCAAATATTCAAAGACCGGCATCCTTGCATATTCGATTTGAAATTCCTTGTTCATCATAGATGAGAGATTCAAGACAGTCTCCTACAACAGTAAGCAAGTGATGGTATCTTTTATGCTAAGTTCACTTGGTGGAAAATATTTTACTAACACAGAAGCTGATTCTACAGTGGAAATGTAAGATTAGGCATTGTGTTGGTTGCTTCTTTTATCACATGATAGCTGTGCACTTTTGGGAGCTCAGCTAACATTTGGATGCTGCTTCGATTCACTTCATTCAGATACTAAGGTTGTGCGCAAAAGAAGAATTGCAGAAGGCGGTCCCACAGGATGAGTGAAGTTTCTAAAGGATGCAAAACCTGGATTTTATGTTTATGTGTAATATAACATATTGTATAATGAACTGACTGTAACCTATGAACAAATAACTTTCAACATAATAATACAATAGAAACCAGTATCAACAGGTAATAAAAGGATAAAAAAATCCACTTAGATTATGCTGTAATTGGTTACATAAAAGTTATTAATTCTATGATTGCTCACTGGCTTGAAGACTCTACTGGCTACTAAACAACAAAAGCCTTCTCATACAGGAGATACGAGGTAAACATGAAAAAAAAAAGAATTATAGAAGGGGGGAAAAAAGAAGGTTTCACACTTCACAACCTGGTTGGAGTACAACCTTGAGGATGAACGTTTCTTTGGTTGAGAGAGGAGGGAGAAGAAGGCAGGGGAAGGGGGAGGGAGTTTATTGGTTAGTTCAATCGATCACTCAAACAACTGCTCTGTTGTTCCTCTTTTGTAGGATTGATTGGTAGCGTTGATTGGTGGTGGTTATATTTGGAACTTCTCTTCATTCTTGTGACCATTTTGTTTGGAGATTTGGAGTTCCTTTAGGATCACATATATCATAATGTGCAGCCTAGTATCATCAAATGTTAATTGTAGCAAATTATCATCCTGTTAACACGGATGATTAAACATGAAATTATAGGGGTACTTCCATTAGCTCAGATTATGACTTGATTATGTTCGGTAGACAATTACGGACTTGAAAATCAATGTTATAGGTAAATAACGTTAGCTTATACAACTCATTAGTGCCATATTGAGCATGGATGTGTTTCTTGGATATTGAAGATTTGCCATATCATGTTGCGTCCATATCCTGTATCCTTAACAGTCTTAGCTAATTATCCTAGTTCTCCACCTGAGTTTTCTTTCTTTTGTAAACCATTCTGGAACCACTATGATTTGATATATTCTTTCAACATCCTTTCATGTCAGTAAGGGATATTAAGCTTATTTTCATTGTTTTTCCTCCCCAGTCTGATTTAATTATTACGATGATCAACCTTAACACATGAATGATATCCTATCCATTAATTGTTCTGTATTCCTTGATATTAAAGAGATCTTATGAAGCAATTTAAATTCCATATTTCAACATGTATTCTCCATTTAGTTTGTTCTTCTAAATTAATTCGTGGCGATACTAGTTCCTTGATTTAACAAACAAAATTTTTCAATGAGAGTATTCTGTTATTTTGTTGATAATTCAGTGTCAGCACAGTTCAGCCACAACGTGGTTGAAAGGCACGCTGCAAGTTATCATTATTATTTTTTCCTCAGTTATCGCTGGTATTACTATGAAAGTGTTGTTTATACTGTGAGAGAGAACAAAAGTAAAGAGAGTCTGATATACACCTGAGCGCTCACATTACGCACGCCTTCAATATGTTTGGTTTTTGTGAGTCAACCAGCTTGTTGAATAAGTTATAGGCAAGTTCTAGGAGTTTTGTCTCACAAAATGTGAGAATTTTGAGAGAGAGGACGATGCAAGCATTGGCTTCTTGCCGCGGACAACCTCATTTTCTGCGACCTTTTTCGTTAATTTAATACACTATCAGTGTCTTCTGTACTTTTCTGTAGCTAGTCATATGGTTACTTGATGCAGCTATAATGCTTAGCTTCAGCCATTTGAGTTTTGATGAATTTTGAAGATAAGATTGTTAAGAGTACAAAATTGTAACCCTCAACCCTCATCAAAACTCTGGAGTCTGTGTAGTGGAATGGATTGTAAGATGGTATTATTAGATCAATCAAAGTTCAAATTTCACCAGACATCTTTGAAGGGGATTTAACCGGAAAAAAAGTTATAACCACATGAAATAGTAAAGTTTCGGTCCATTACAATAGCAGTCAACCAGTGGGTGCATGTTAGAGAGAACAAAAATATCGTCGATCCTCACTAAAAACTCCAGAGTTTGGTTTTAAGTGTAATGGATGGGGCTTTAAGAATGATTATGCAACCTGGTTTAATAAATCGTGTTAACCATTATGACTCCAGTTGAAAACTAGGCATGGAATTGCAGAGGTGTTAACAATAGACATAAATACAACTACACCTCAGATTTTATCGGACATTATAACTACTTTTTGAATATTTCTTGTCAAGATCTTGTTCCTGCATATTATATCCTGCCCTAACTATCAGTGTCAAAAGCAGGTATCGTGCCATCACGAGTGCTTACTATCGAGGAGCTGTGGGTGCGTTGCTCGTCTATGATGTCACAAGACACCCTACATTTGAGAATGTTGAGCGCTGGCTCAAAGAACTAAGGGACCATACTGATCCAAACATCGTTGTCATGCTCATTGGCAACAAGTCTGATCTCCGCCACCTTATTGCCGTCTCAACTGAAGATGGGAAATCTTTTGCTGAGACCGAGTCTCTATATTTTATGGAGACTTCGGCGTTGGAATCAACGAACGTAGACGATGCATTTTCAGAGGTATTGACTCAGATCTATAGGATTGTGAGCAAGAAGGCGGTTGACACTGGTGATGATGCGGCATCTGCTGTTCCCGGTGAAGGAGAGAAAATAAACATCAAAGATGATGTTTCTGCGCTCAAGAAAGGTGGTTGCTGCTCGAATTAGGTTACTGTGATGTTATTTGTGGTAGGTCCTTTTCTCCCCCTTTTAATTTTAATGTTCGGACCTAGCATATCTGGAACAATTGTTGGCTTAGTTTCTTTTTGGGTAAATTTCATAGTAACTACCATGAACTATTAAAAATTGATACTACTTCTTTACTTCAATAAAAATTTCTAAACTAGCCTTATTAGTATCTATGAAGGAGAGGGGAAGACGGTAATATAGAAGGAAAAATTCCCCAAGGACCCAAAATATGAGACCAACAGGGGGATAGGTGAGGTGACCCCCTCCTATTGCATAATGAGTTAGCTATCATTAATTATGACCAGCTCATTATGCAATAGAAGAGAGATATCACATGTCCCCCTGTTGGTCCTATATTTTGGGTCCCTGTAACAAACCTCTCTCCTCCCTAAAAGCTCAAGGTAGTTCCGTAAAAAGGATAAATTTTCAAAACCAACACATTTGAGTTTTTATTTACAAAAAACGACCCGTTTCTAGGATATTTGCAAAAACCGACCTGGTTTCAGCGCTGAAGCTGAAACCAGGTCGGTTTTTTGCAAATTTGTTTGAATGGGGTCGTTTTTTGGCAATAAATTCCTAAATGGGTCGGTTTTGAAAATTTGTCCTCCGTAAAAATTACCCTCTATTATTTTGTTCCGCTACTTCTTCAGCGCCTCGCATGGCTGATTTGGGACAGAATCTTTTTTGTTGTCCCTTACATTTACGTCAAGATTAGATTCATCTGGGTACGTATCTTTGAAATAATGCCAGTTTTGGTCAGACACCTTGCATCTTCGGGCTATGTAACAAGGTAAAGATATTATAGTTAGAGCTGAGGATGAGAAACATGCAATTAATACTCTGAATGGTGACAGCAATAAAAGACACTGAGGAGCTGAGGGTAGAGAACATGCGTTGCTTAAATCAATTGTTGAGCCTGGTGTAGGTTGCCTGCGGTTTAACTCCCATTTATGTTTTTATGAGGTTATTATGACAGAGGATAGCATCTTATCCTGTTTCCCATAAAATGTGTCCTCGCAGAGAATTGAATATATTCATAAAGATGCAGGATTGGTGCGTTATCATATGTATTTAAGATATTTAGAACTAGATTGATGGGAACAACCGTCTCGTGGCTCTGGCTCTGGCTCTTTTTTTTATTTTTTTTATTTTTTTTATGTGTGGGGTACTTCCAAGGGTAATTTAATATAGAAAAATTCCCTAAGGACCCAAAATATGGGACCAACAGGGAGGACATGTGAGGTGTCTCCTTCCTATTGTATAATAAGAAATGATGGTCAGCTCGTTATGCAATAGAAGGGGGACACATCACCTACCCCCCTCTGTTGGTCCCATATTTTGGGTCATTGTAGCAAAACTCTTGAATATATTTAAGATATTTAGAACGATAGTAGGCTTGTTTTGTATACAACTAAACGATTACGGCCTGAAAGAGCCCCCTCTACGAGAAAAGTGTATAAAATTCAAGGTTTGTTGTGCTTTAATGATGCATCAAATAGATCTCCTCGCTGAATTAGTGCGTGACTCTCTTATTTTACCAACTTAGGGATGGAGAATGCGCGAGCTTCGCCGTAGCACCCGCGTTTAAAAACATGTTTTCTCGAGCCATACACACACACGAAGATGATAGAGAGAATTTTGTTCTCTTTACGGTTCAAGCAACCTTTTTCGCTCCTAAAAAGAGAGCTAGTTCTGATTATTAGAACCGTATACGAGATTATGCTGTTGCTGAAATAAATAAGAATCATCGGATGTTGCGTGTCGTGGCGAAGTTATTCGGTGCTTCTGATGTATTGTCTTAATCAGAGAGAGATACCAATTAAATACGTACGTACGTACGCTGTGCAAGCATACGCATCTTCTCTTTTTGTGCGGACTTGAAGCACGTGCGAAACGAGGCTAAAGATTATAAGCCGGTTCCTTGCGTCCCGCGCCAATCAACGAGCCCATCACCACTTGGACAAATAATGAGCCGGAGACGAGGCAACCCAACGGGGCCCACTCAACCACCTCTCCAGCTACAAGAGGCTAATATATAAGCCAATCCCCCCTGTTACAGATAAAGTTTTGTCTCTTTGTTTTTATTGTTATTTATTTTGTTTTGTTTTGTTTATATCATCGAACCTTTGAACTTATCCACATCCCTTAGCTAAGCTCTTAGATCGTAGCGATTAGTTTATGTTGATTACTTGAAACTGAATCAAAGTGGTTGATATTAATAATCTCTGGATTGGTAGGTTTAATAATATAAGAAGGCAGCGTCTCGTGATGCGGTGATGGCGCCATTACAGGCGGTTGATTAATAGTATTCGATTGTTGATGAGGCCCGCTCGCGCGTGTGAGCTGGATATCTAAGAGTAATTTTAGCACAGTAGAATTTAGATAGAATCAATAAAATATACAATTTTCATTTCTACTTTATTTTATAAATTACATCCAAAGTGAGAATGAGAATGACTATTACATTCTCACATTAATTCCATTCCATTCATTCTTTTATTTTATTTTTATTTGAGTCCATTCCCGCGTACCAAACGGGACGTTAGGATTTGTAGATTGAGAAAATATCCCGTGATCGACATTGATTGATTTTAGCCAGTAGCGGACCATCTCTCACAACATGTATATTGACGCTCATCTTCACTCAATTCATGAAGGGGCAAAAAAAACTAGGATTATCCGCAGTCTATCCTCCTTCGCGCAATATTATGACATGAACAAACACGAGTAAATAAATATATTGGGAAACGATATCTTACTAAAAATATAGATCACTCAATGCATCTTCTTATGGTAAGCATTCAGGGGCTGTTTGTTTGCATAAGGGGGAAGGAGAAAGCATGTCAAAAGTATCAATTTTGATAGGTTTTTTTTGCAAAAACGCTGTCAAAACTGACACTTTTAGCAGGTTTTTAACCCATTTCCCCCTCTAAAAGAGGCAACCAAACGCACGTTAAGCAATTCAATCG